GCTAACTGGTTACAGAATCTGCCCCAGGCCTACAAAAATGATATTGTCAGATTCAGCTGGAACAAAAATGTTTCAAACAAGTAAGAGTTTCTCTGCTTTATGGCCACGAACCGACATATATACATCTTTCATTTGAATCCGTATTAAAAGCTCTATTGGCTCCTACATTCGGGTTTTTATAGGCGAGTCTCCCCTGAAATGTTTTCTTCCATTTTTTTGGCCTATGTGCGCTTTTATTCGAAACCTAAATGTTTCGGTACCGAGTATCGAGAGTATTGGATACTTTTTAAATCGGTACCGAATATCGATCAATACTTAAAAGTATTGCTTCAGCACATCTCTAGAAACAGGAAACATGTAAACACAAAACAGCTGATATGCACTTTGACGCTTTATCCATTTTTACCCGGAGAAAACGTCCGGCTGTTTTGAGCAGGAAGAAGAAGACACTTACGATCCAATACCATCGTACAGTTCCATAAGTAAAGTAACTCTTCTTCTTACGGGTTTTTCTGGCAGGCTGTAGGTGTGTGTTTGGCAAGCTGTAGGTGTGTTTTTGGTTCAGTGTGTTAGTGTATTTTGAATAAATTGTAATAGAAATAAAAGAAATTGTAATATAAATGAAAGAAATTGTAAAAGATAAGAGCACATGTCAAAAAACAGGTGATCTCAGCTGTAGGCATTTTATTGGCAATCAGCTGATAGTGTTTTTACTTATGAAACTGTACGATGTCCAATACGTTCCAATTTTCGCTCTCTATTACCCATTTTGTTGAGTACGGGAATGATTTCTGGGCTATTTTGGGCACTCGCGGGATCCCGCGCTGCGTACGGGAAAGAACCTATTGATAGTAACGTATCTTCACAATGTATTTTTATTCCGAAATCAAAGGAAGGCAGCCGATAAAATAAATGTTTGCTTGTGTTAGTATAAATGAAAACCAAAAATTCTTCATGCTAAATATTCGTTGGTATCACCTTCGTTTGCGTAATTTTCTGGAACAAGTATAGAATAGCGACCGTTTAGCTATAAAATAACCAAAAGTGCCGATTGATAGAACTTTTTACGCTGATTTCAACGATACCAAATTTATTAAGCGCAGGTAAAAAACAAAGAAGATATAAGAGGTTTATTTGCTTTGTTTTTTTTATATTTTTTATTATCACTTAGTTCTTAAAACCCAAAAGTAGGTCATGATAAAATATGTATATCGAATTAAAGATAATATTAAGGGTTTTCATCAAACCTTATAAATGCATTGTAAACCGTATAAACTTATAATTGTGTAAACCTTATAAATGAACTGTCAAAATTTGTATGGAAACTCGTTTACACATTTCTGATAAATTTCTCCAGCGATTTCACTGAATAAACTTGACAAACTGAAGTCAATATAACACTGTCGCAACTCTAGCTATGTTTTCTTAGGTAATAATCGAGATCCGCATAAAAATTTTGCACGCAAATTCAACAACGTTGTGATCCTGACAGAGATGTGGTTCAATTATTATACGTTCTGTTTGTTTTGTTTCACTGATAATTTGGCCGCAAAGTTTGGTAGCTGTGACAAATGAATTCATACACAAACAGACATTCTGCCATTGTTTCTTTTAACTTTCTTCAAATTAATAGCCTTTATGTTATATATATATATATTTATTTAAATACATATTATCTCGTAAATATAATTTTTTCCCATTTAGTGAGTTAGTTTCTATAATTTCTTTATCCTCGTGCTAGTAGTATAAAGTTAGTGATACTGAGCTCTATAACCAAAGAAAACACGACTATTGTTGCATGTGTAAACGAAAAGAGAGTGTGGGTCGTTCATGTAACAGAGTGCGTAAACATAAGATTATCTGCTTGATAAAGTTATCGCTTTAGATGAATACCACTAATATAAATTTCTTTACCATTAATCATGCAGTTTTCTCCACAAAAGGTTATTTCATGAAAAATTAGTGGTTTTGGTTTAAATATATAAAAAACAATTTCAATTACGTACATTCGCTGAAAGATAACTTGATTATTTTTATTTTGAAGCTAATAGTTTTTTAATCGGTAATAAGATAAGAATCGGTAATATTAAGATATTTTTATTAAAAGAAATAAAAACATTTAACTTTAACCGTCTTTATATTTACTTGCGGTAAATAATTTGGACATGTTTGATATGAGCGTAGAAAATTATATTGATCAGCATTTTTCGTTTTTGCATAGCTCAACGGTCGGTATTCTAGATTTGTTCCAGGAAATGACGAATAACTTAAATTAAAAATCTATATTTTTACGTATTGTTTAGTATTTCCATTAAAAAACCAAATATATTGCAAATCCACATGGAATTACTAATACACATTTTACTTCTAATTGTATACTTTGCACACTTGCACAACGTCTTTCTTTGTTGAGACTTAAAAAAACGTACACGTAAATTAAATGTATTAACATTAACGAAACTGTTTTTTTTTTTACATTTGTATACTTACCCTAGTTATTTATGACTTCAAGGAAATAAAAAATTAAGTATTTTTATGGTGGTTTTGTATTGAATTTAATACTTTTTATTTTTTTATAGCAGTGGTACAGTAACTTAAATTTAAATATAATAAATAGTTAAAAAGGTCTAGTCAGAAAAACAATAACTTTGTAAAGTTAAAAATAAATAGGTCTAGTAGAAAAATGTGTCGATATATTTGATGTTATTAGAAGTAGGATTGTCTGTGTTTATCTACATAGGTATATTCCTTTTTGCTTGTCAAATTTGACAAATTTTTCCCGCGTACGAATTTCAGATTCTAAAGGTCTGGCAGCCCTGGCTATGATATGATCTCAGCTGTTAAAAAGTAAACAAGCTGACGAAGTCGTTCGATGTCACAACTAATGCAGATTGTTTTCTGATTCTGATTTGCAGGTTTTTACAGGAAGCCGTTCCAGGTGACCACCTTCCATAAGGTTTATTATTGAAGAAAACAGCTGTTCCTGCAAATCCTGTAAAACCTGCAAATCGTGAAGCATCTGAAACGCAACTATTATATTGCCGTACCTAGGGAGCGCACGACTCTAGATAGGATGCATAACCCGGGGAAGAAAATAGATTGAAAAAGCAAGCAATTTGGTGTTGCTGCTGTTTAACGGTATTGATTTTGTTGGTAAACCAGTTCTACAACTTTTTGTCTTATAACGAGGGAATAGATTATACATATTAATATGGTATTATGAAGCTCGGCCAAACACTAACATATGTGTAAGCGCCAATCTATTATTAATATTATTATTATCCCTTCGCCTGAACTCTGATTGAAGCGAGCTGTACTATTGTTCCGTGACACACTTTTCGCAGGTAATGCATTTAGCTTCGACGCCATTTTTCAATTCTTTAGACAACTGAGACAAGGATTGCAAGAGTTCTAGCATTGTAGGTTGTAGAGTTGTTTGCTCCCTTACATCTTCGCTTTTTGCCGGATCGCTTAGAATTTTAGCCGTTTCTTGTGTTACAGCAAAAGACACTGTCTCTACAAAAGTCGATTTTGGTGTCGCATACAGGGCACGCTTTATTTCCAAATCTCGCACTCCTTTAATGAAAGATTGTATTTTGACACGGTCCAAGTAATCTACTGGTATATCCGAATGAGCTAAAAGTGTTAGACGTTCAATATCGTTTGCGTATTCCTGCAATGTCTCTGTATCTTTCTGCGTACGACTGACCAACTTCATCTGATGCATTCGCCTCCAGTGCTCGCTACCGTAGTATTTCTCTAGAGCCGATATTATTGCATCGTAATCAGCTCTGTCCGCTTTTTCAACAGTTTGCAAGACTATCATTGCAGGTCCTTTAAGAGCAACAATCAGCGCGGCTAACTTATCTTCAACACTCCATTTATAACTTGTTGCCGCCATTTCAAATTGTAATTTAAAGATATTGAAAGGCATCGTACCATCAAAGGTTGGAAGTTCCAATTTCGCGGTGCCAATAGACGATGCTGAATCATTCCAACGAAGTTCGCGAAAACACTCGTCCAAGCGAGAGATATCTGCCTCTAATTTCTTATGAATCGTCTGGAGCTCATTCTTTACCTCGCGTTGAAGCGCCTGAAACTCGGTTTCCACTTTATCTTGTCTTGCCTGCAGTTTTATCGAATTTTCTTCGATTCGCGACAATTTTTCCTGCACTATCTTCGAGTTTTCAATCAGACTATCGCGCAAAACAGCCAGATCTGCACGCGTGCGCTCTTCCATCTGCAATGAACTATTCTGCATGCGTTCCTCCAAAAGGGATGCATTTTTTTGTATGCGCTCTTCTAACTGCTTTGAATTCTTAACCAAACTTTCTTCTATACGCTTTTGCATATCCTCCACTTGCGACGTATTTTGAATCAAACTATCCTGTACTCCCGCAATCGCACCTAATAAGGCATTCATATCTGTTGGCACTGATGAGTCTCCACACTTGTTAGATGGTATTGCAGGGAATTCGTACTCTTCCTTGGCGACACCACTAGCTTCCATCGCTTTCAGTAGCCGAGCCTGTAATACCGATTTATTTCCATATGTAATTAAATTGCGTGCCTCCAATTCCTTTTTTAACTGTGACTTTTTCAAGTCATCAAACTTTCCCATATTTGACACTTACTCTCTAATAAATCCCAAATCTCTTTTATTAAATGACTCAACACGTAAATGTGAAATAATAGGAGCGTTCCTTATCTCCCAGAAATAGTCAGAAAAAGTCCGAAGTAGTCAGATTTAGTCCAAAAAGCGTTCCTTAACTCGGAAATGACAGCAAAAATGAGAGAGCAACAGTCAGTGAGAGTGACTCTCATCAGTCCGAAGTAGTCAGATTTAGTCAGAAGAATTTTTTCTGGCAAAATCCTGAAAAGTGTCAAACTCAACTGAATTTAAATTAACGGAAATTAAAGATAAAAGTGAGAATAATCTAAAAAGTAAAAGAAATGAATTGAAATTGGAAGGAGGCAAAAAATAATTGATATAGCAAGTGTTTATTGTGCTTGTGCTTGTGTGAATGTGTTTTGTACATACATTTCTGTTTTTATTTGACGTTAGTTTTGTTGTTGCCATTCTTTGGACTAAAAATTTGGTTTTTTGCGTTCCTTTACTTTTCCTGTTATTCTCTTTTAGTGAGCGCATTTTGCTTACGCTCTGGCATTTTGACACTTTTCAGATTTTAGTCCAAAAAGATAAGGAATGAACCTATTACTTACAACACCAACTTTACACGTTCACTTTGCGCTTAATTTATGTATGTATGTATGCAGTTTAAAAAACACTGTTATTAGAATTCCGCAGCTACTTTTACACTTGGCTCACTTTTTCAACACTGTTGCGTGCTGCAGGCGCAGTCACCTTTATATAACTTCGCAGAGGTGAATTTCTAGATTTTTCTCCACAGTTCGAATTGATGTCGAATGTTCGAAAACGAATACGGTCAGCTGTTTAAGCAGAGTTGCCAGACTTAAAAAACGGATGAAAGTACTACAAACCTCGTATTTTGAAATAAAACTAATTAGCATTTTTTGACTGCTGTGACAGTTTCTTTTATTCTGCTATTGGGCTTTGTTTACTTTTACTTGACAAATGTCAGCGCCGCCGGGAATGAGCAGTCTTGTACTCATCATTCTTGCCATCTCACGATATTCCAAAAACTTGGCATTTTCACCACCATCCCCTTATGCCGGATGTGGCAACTCTGTATAATCACTACATTTAAGACAGCTGTTTTGTGTTGTCTAGTACGCTGGGGTTATCTGTGATTTTATTATAAATTATGCGGTGCATATTTTTATTTCGGACGTGCACTACCATACATTAATCCGGTAAAATGTTGAATGGAATAGTGGTGGAGCCCTCCGTGCACTTCTTCGAAGGTGTAGAGAAGCTATTGGAAATTTGGTTCGAGGATGGAGATAATGGCGATTATGACTTAAGGAAGATACCAAGGTAAGATTTGTGCCCAGTGCAGATGGAATCAATGAGGTCAACAAGGTCAACAGTTCTCAAGACTATAGTTCATTCCTCGATATTTCTCGTTGTATGGAACACAAATAAGCATAATACTGCTCATTAAAATCAGTAATTGTTGATGTATGGATAATTCTTTGCCGGATATGATCAAATTCGGTCGCTCCGGTATCATGGAGCAGTCTCTTTGTACACATTTCAAGGAAATCGTTTAGTAAATGTTAGATTTAACGCACGTGCGTATGTATGTCTGTAAAACTTCCTTATCAATTAAGAGTTCAATTATAAAAGGCTTATCACATAGTATGGCCTGGGTTTTTTGAACTTGTAACTTATAAATAGATGTTACTTTGTTGATTATCAATTAGTATTTAAAATTTGTTTTACACAAATCTGGTTTGTATTTAATGATTTGGCGCTTTTGGCTATTTTCAGAACCAACTGGGAAAATTTACTAAAAACCGTGAAATGCGAAATAATAAGTTTTACCAAAAATGATGCCATAGATGCTTATGTATTAAGGTGTGGAACTCGGAAATGAGCAAGGCTAGATAGAAAGATTTTATAACATTGATTTTAATTAATTACAGTGAGAGTAGCATGTTTGTTTCCAAAAATCGTTGGATCCTAAAAACATGCGGTTCGACAACATTGCTTAAAAGTCTCAAGCCGCTCTTGGAGCTTGTGCCACAGTATGGCTTTACTGAGATAACTGATTTGTTTTATTCAAGAAAAAATTTTTCCAGACCAGAACTGCAGGTATGACAGACTTCTTCCCAACATACATTTAGGTTAGAGAACGATTAGAAAGCGACTCGAATTCTATGCGTTTCTCTAATGTAGAAGGTTAGAAAACGATTACATAAACTATAGCATTCTCTACAACAAGGGGACTTATTCCCGAAATTAAAAGGGTTAGATACCTAATCGTATTATAAAATTGAATTCTAATTGGTTTCTAATGTCTAGTGTTTTTCTAATCATTCTCTAATCGAATTCTAACATAGTTCTCTTACCTCATTTTCAATTCGAGAACTACATTAGAATTCTAATGCAAAATCAAACGTTTCTCTAACGTTAGCAACTGTGTTTGCTGGGTTATTGTAAATTACTCGCAGTAATCTTTATGTACATCCGTATATGTATTTTTTCCAATACATACGACTTCATTGCAGTCATTCCCACATCGTGGCTTCTGTGAAGAAGTCGAATATCTGGATACGCTTTTTGAAGAAGGCAGATCCTATTGCTTGGGTTCAATTAACAGAGAATGCTGGTACTTGTATACTTTTAGTAAATTTAAAAAAGAAGTGAGTAGACCACGCAAGTTGGATAACTCAGAGCCAGATCAGACTATTGAGATTTTGATGCAAAATCTGGACAACAATGTTATGTGCAAGTTTTCCAAAGAGAAGTTCTCTACTGGGGCAGAAGTGACCAAAGTTTGTAAAATGATTTTTGATATGGAATTAATTTATGTAATATTTGAATTTTATCAGGCTACAGGCATAGACAAACTTTTACCGGATATGGAAATAGATGATTTCCTTTTTGATCCATGTGGATATTCAATGAATGGAATCGGCGATAAGGTAAGTTTAAACTAATTATCTAATTGTGTATCATTGGAATTATTAAAAAATATGTACATATATTTTCAATATAAGAAGAGTGTTTCAAGGCTATATTAAGATATGTATTTGTTTATTTACTTTTTTCTAGGGAGAATATATGACGATACACATTACCCCCGAGAGTAATTTTTCGTATGTTAGTTTTGAGAGCAATGTTTCAATGAATAATTACGCGGATCTTATAAACCGTGTGATAAAAACTTTCAAGCCAGGAAAGTTCGTTGTAACTATATTTGCGAATAAGGTAAATACACATACATAAATGCATTGAATGCAGTAATTATTTTTCTTTTCATTCCAGTCCTCACCTGCTTATGCAACAATAAAAGAATTAGAACTCGAATATACGGAGACTACGAGTTGGAAACGTTCAGACATGCAATATTGCAGTTTCCCGCTTTACAATTTACTATTTGCACAATATCGCCAATGTTCTTGAAGGAGTTTTGACCCTTATTTCCTAAATACATACATTTATAGGTCTTCATAGGAAATCTCAAATATGTTTTTAACACCGGACTTCAGTAAGCACATTTCTGTTAAATTATAAAATAAATGCTAGTAACCAAAAATAAGAGTAGAATATGTACATATGTACTACACATATCTCAGTTTTAATTCGTTTAATTACAAAAGACTTGTATTGCGTTCGGTACAACTTCTATTTTCAACGGTTTAACGTCATATTCCTCGCCATCTATGGAGTAATGCGCGTCAGTTGTCTCCTTTACAGAAGGTAGCAGCTGTATAGTTCTACTTTGAAGCATGCTGTTGGGTTCCAGCTCCCTGCCTATTACTTTGTTTAATTTTTTAACAAATTCGATGCCTGGCACTAGCGTGTTAATAATTTTAGTTTCAAGTTCGGTGATTGAATCACCATTTTTCTTGCAAGTTATATTTAGTTGATTCGCACTCGTATGTCCCTCAATTCTTGTAGCGCAATTGTCATTTAATTTATAAGAGTTTGCATTGGGAATACTTGTGTCCCTTACCGTATACATGCGAGGTAAAAACTTTTTCACATACGATTTATTTTCCTTCGCTTGGCAATTACGGCAACCGGAACACGGTGGAGTGTAAATGAAATCTGTAGAAAAGTTCCAGTCTAGTTTGCTGGAAAATGCGTTAAGAATTGTAGCTGCATATTGCCGCAGCGGTCCAAAGTACCAATATTTATCTGCAATGCTTTCAAGATCCCGTAGCAGCCCCCAAGAAAAGTCATTCAAGCCGTAAATGGAGGTTTCAGTTGTTTTGTTTGCAGGCGCATTATCTGATGGACTGTTAATGAAATCGACTTTCATAACACTTTCACTCCTTACTTTCTCCTCTAGAAGTGGCCTTAAAGCCGCAGTTAGGGATTTGACACGTTCGAGTTTGTTTTCCGGTTTAAAATCGAGATACTTCAATGCGGTTGTGCTTCTTCGTCCTAATGGCAGCAAGACAACAGGGCACTTGCCTTCTTTTCGACGTAGTAGCCCCGTAACTACTTCTGATGCTGTCCCATCGCCACCTGCGACTACAATCGCATGTGGACGCACAGTCATATCATTAAGCCATGTCTTGACATGACCCTCTTCGGTCGTTTTAATAATGTCCACGCTGTAACCGGAGAGGTGCAGAATAGGTTCGCAATAATCCTTAAACTAAGTGAAAAGTTTTGTTTAAATAAAGAAGCTAATTCTGAACATCAAGCTTTACCATTTTCTCTGCTTTTCTTTTGTTGGCAGCGGGATTCAAAACAACCAAAACATGTTTGGGCTTATCACAAACCTTTCCATTTGCAATGGTGTCGGCACAAACATTTTTCATATGCTGAGATATGCTGTTAAAATTTAAATAAAAATTGGGGGGAAAAATTACCAAAAATTTAAAAATCCAGTTGTTTACAAATTGGGTTTGAGTAATATGGCAACATTATGCAGGTCCGCAAGCCATCTGATTACACCATATGAAGAAATCAATTGAAACTTTATTACTATGCAGGAATGACTTACTCGAAGCTTGTTTTTGCATAATATAGCCCATATCCTGCGACACCCGCTGCAAATAACGATTTTTTCCAATGATTTCGTAAAGTTGAAAGACTGACCATGTTCGACTGTGCACTATCTCAAACACACCTGCTGGAGCTGGGATACTGTCGATAGTTGCAAACTGTCGCACCTATCGATAGTTTTTGAAAACTACCTTTCCAAATACGGCCTACCATATCGAAAAGGAACTATTGATTATACTCTCGCATACATATTATGCGCGTTCCTTATCTCCCAGAAATAGTCAGAAAAAGTCCGAAGTAGTCAGATTTAGTCCAAAAAGCGTTCCTTAACTCGGAAATGGCAGCAAAAATGAGAGAGCAACAGTCTGCTTGTGTGAATGTTGTGCTTGTGTGAATGTGTTTTGTACATAAATTTCTGTTCTTATTTGACGTTAGTCTTCTCTGTTTTAAACGTTCTCTGCAGAATGTTCGAGGAATGGCGTAGAATGTTCCACAAAGAGAAACGTCAAGTTGGATGAACACTGCGAACACCGAGAGAAAGAGAATGAGCGATAAACTTCAGAACGCTTTAGAGTTGCCATAAGTACGAGCGCTGGTATATAAGGGCGTCGCCACAGCGAAGTGAGTTAAACTATGTTCACATATCAATATTATCTCAATCAAAGCTCGTTTTTTAATCACCCCGTTTACACAGGCAAATCTCAGATTATTAGCCGTCAAATTTGTTGTGCTCGTTATTCTCACATCTCAAGGAAAAGTTATGTTTCTTCACTGTGCCACCGTGATCACGTTTTTCTGCTATAATAAGCAACATAAATATATTTTAACTTAACATTTTATTAAAAATACCTTTACAAACCTCTTTTACTTGCTTGCGTACATTTTTGTTTACTTTTACATTTGGCATTTCTCCTCTTTTTCGCAAAAACAATCGATAAAACTAGGATGGACACCGAAAAGTTATCGGTTAAATCTGAGATTATTTTATAATTACAGATTAACAAGGGACGAATTTTATATGGCTAATCTCTTGTTATAATTACAGATTAGGGTGTTAAGCTCGAAAATGAGGATAATCTACTTATATGTGAACCTAGTATTAGTTACAAGACAGCAAGCTACAAGTAAAGTGAGCAGTGAAGTGAGTGGCGAATAAGCAAGCTATAGGTTTAACTGTGTTAACAAGTTTAGTTATGCGTTGTTATTGCTTTAACAAGTATTGTAGAGTGTTTTTACTGTATTAGCGAGTATTGTAAATTGTTTGTTGTACAATAAAGTTAATTGTACTACAATTTGGTCATCGTGAGCATTTATTTAACAATCCAGCGATACAAGCCCGAGTATATTTGGGAAATCCCTCAAGGCTTCGAGGATAATCGTAACAATATGTACATACATACATACATCAAAGAAAATTTGTTTCGTCGTTTTCTTCGATATCGAGTATGGCTTTCCATTTTCTCATTACTTAAGAGCGTGTCAGACGTGGCAATATATTTCGAAAAGGCTGTCAAATTGAGAGGTTTCAGAAAGTAGTTGACGATTGTTTTATTTAGGTTAAAAAAATTTACGATGTAAATCGATGTGTCGAGCCTTTTTCTCTATTCCATCAAAAGTATCGAGTAGGCCGAATATCGATACTTTTGCAGCTCTACGCAATGATAACTAGTTTGTTGAAATGCCGAAACATTGTGAAGCACAGGGTGTACATATTTGCTATGGGGGTATTCTCAAACCGATAAATAGCAAAAGCATTTAACAAATTACCGCAAATAAATTTAATTATTCTGTCTATATTAGGAACTGAAAACAAATTTAATTTGATCACATAATTTATTATAATTTTAATTTTTGACATCAAGAACACAATCCTAACGATTACCTATAAGGACGATGACTTCATTAGGATCCGGAAGTCGATTTAGAAGATACGACTGATTCCGCCTGGAGGAAAAAATACCACTTGAATCTTTAGAACCCGAATTGCCCAGTTTTCAGCCATGTATGATGGATCTATAATTGTTGTTGAAAAACTCATTACACCCTAACCATGTTTTTTGTTTAGGTTCGTTGGGACTTCCCGAGGAACTTTAGCAGTGGAATGCGAAACCGAAATAGGAGTAGCACCAGTGTGTTAGGACGAGGCAAACAGAAATTGTATTGCCCAAGTCTTAACCCTTATGTGTTTATAAGAACCAAATTTAGTTTTAAGTGCTATTATATGTGTACATGCCATTTTTAAATTAAATCCAAACAAGTACGAAATGTACAAGTGAAAACGTCGCCACTAATGCGCATGTGCCATTACCAGGCTCTTGTCTATGTCAAGGAAGTATTATGTGCATTTTATAGTAAAAGTTTCTGTTGTGTTAAAAGCAAAAGTATGTCCTGCGACCTGATGAAACTGAAATAGTTTCACATTTGCAAGAGAAAAATAAAATGTTTCGCAACTCAAAAGCAATTTGTGGTCTAGCTATAATTTTTATATGTAAGTAAAACGCAGAACTCAGTATAAATAATGCATTTTCGAAAGAAAAAAAATTGATTCCAAGCAAGCACTCATTAGGTCGAGTGGATGGATGGATGGCTATATAAAGCAAAATAATATATATTCGCATGGCAAAGTAAAGCTCTGCGAAATTGTTATAAAATAACTTTGCTGTTTTTAATTTAATGCCGTTATTTGTCTGCTATTCAGTTTTTCACAGAACAATCGACTGTCAATATGTGTATATTGATCATAGCCAACAAATCAACGGGTCAGAGCTCGTACAAAAATCAAGGGGAGCCGAGGAAGCGTTTGATTCATTGGGGGAAACATATTTAAAAAGCCATAGACCGCTTGATAGAGGACCCTACTTCGATACATCGGCTACGAAAAATGTAACATCGTTGGTTGGTAAAACAGCGCATTTAAATTGCCGCATTAAGAACCTTGGAAACAAAACAGTGAGTATCAATAAAATTGCCTGCCATCGGATGGGCAACGAGCCAAATGTCCGGCTGGCTGGTTGGCTGGTAAATTGCATGTGAATACATTCGATAAAAATGGTTTCGGAAAATGTACGGCCGCTCTAAAAACTAAATGTATTTTTCATTAACCCCCACATCTTTCTTCACCCCATATCGAGTATAGTGATAGTGGAGTACATTTGCCAAGTACATGATATGTGCAAATTTATGCACCTACACAGCCTTAGAAGATATTGTCGAAGTCATTTTTAAAAATTGTAGTACAAAATTTAACATTTTAAGGTTTCATGGATCAGGCATAGGGATTTGCATCTACTGACAGTGGGCGAAAGCACATATACATCCGATCAGAGGTTCACTTCTATATACAACAAGATAACTGGAGACTGGTCACTGCAAGTAAGTTCATTTTAAAAATAGATTTGCGTTTTTTTTTTTATCTTACCTTTTTTATCCTTCATTCTAGATAAAATTCCCGCAAATAAGAGATTCCGGGGTTTATGAATGTCAAGTTTCCACAACGCCGCCCGTTGGCTATACAATGGTGTTCTCTGTCGTTGGTAAATACAGGCTACATACATATATATCGTCGTTTAAAGTATAAAACCGCGTATGTGAGGTTGTATAAATTATTTTCTGGAGAGTCTCAGAACACTCATATGTCAAAATGGTTCTCATTTTATAAAGCAATCACATTTCTGGCTAGTACATTTCAGGACGAATGATATGGCAGCAAATGTCAGTTACGCGGCTTTGCACAATGACGATACGTGGTTTTGTACTTTAAACGACGATATGTATAAGAATGCATAATAAAGCACTGAAATTAAATGTAAAATAATTCAAATGCAGAACCCATTACAACCATACCCGGCGGTCCAGAATTATACATCGACATGGGATCAACAGTTAATTTAACTTGCATTGTTAAACATCTACCAGATCCACCTTTAACAGTGCACTGGACACATAACAACGAGGTTTAGTATCTAATTCAATACATACCTAAACAAATAAAATTTGGCGAACTTTTTTTCATCTTTCTTTCCAAATAGGAAATAAATTACGACTCACCACGGGGCGGAGTTTCTGTCATAACTGAGAAAGGCGACATAACAACGTCCTATCTGCTTATACAAAAAGCAAGAATTTCAGATTCAGGCAGATATTCTTGCTTACCATCCAACGCAAATTCTAAATCGGTAAACGTGCATGTTCTAAACGGTAAGCGGATGTTTGACTAAATAGTGACATATCCGATTATAATTAACATTTTTCATTTCTTTTCATTTATAGGCGACCATCCAGCTGCTGTACAACGTGCTGGTGATTCACTGAAATATTGTAGCAATTTAATTGTTGTGTTAATTGTGAGTCGTATAATCTATATAGTACATTAATTCTTGTATGTTTGTATGTAATGTATCGCAAAATTAAATATTTCTTACATTGTTATAGATTCGAAAAATTTTATAGATATTTAATGGAATATCATTGTAAATTAAAGATGCATTTTCTATGTAAATATATACTTTATCTGATCTATTAAGACGAATAAGTATCGCTGTATGCGATGTTGTTTTTTAAGGTATGGTGGTTTTTCGATACGGGTCTGCTTTTGCGATGGAAGTTTTTTAGTACGCGGAGGGGGAAAAACCCCCAACCGTTTTGAAAAATATATAAAATATTCATAAAATTTTCGTCGAAGAAGAGTAAAGGTAACCAACCGTACTGTTAGGAGGTACTAGTGACGCCCAAAATCCGCCACTTTTTGAAGTGTGAAATGTTAAACTGTTAAACGTTTTTCGTGATTCTAAGCCATCGTATTTTTTTCTGGAGCCATTTTCAACTTTATCGACTAGTAAACATGTCATATGTAAGTATGTATACATAATCACGACTTGTTTTCTTTTTACTAAATTAATGCCCTCCTTTATTAAAAAAAAACAAAAAGGTTTATTGAAATCTACTAAAAGATTTTTTTTATTTATTATAAAGTTACTCTATTATTATGCTCTTCCACATTAATATTAAGCATTAACTAGACTGCATTTAGTCTTTATGACTGTGTGAGGTATTGATCGAGAAATCGAGACGCAAGGAAATTATTGCTACGATGAAAATTATAAAGAAGAAAGCAACAACCAATAGCGGTTCTTGTAAGAGAGAAATTTTCGAAAATGTATACTTCAAACTAAAGTTTGCAATATGATTCTCTACCAGATTTCTTCTATACAAAGTAATGACGGGTCTACCTACTGTGTCCAGATACGTAAAATGCAATTCATTTGCTCCCCTTTTCACTGAATACGGTGTGGTTATTTCAATATTGGAAACCCCTTCAGGTAAAATGATTTTAACTTCAGCTTCATCGATCACCATATCATTGTAGATGTGATCAATAAGACGCATTCTCAATTGGTACTTATCATCGGCGTTGAAGAGATATTCAAATGATGGAATGTTATAGCCAAGTGTATATTGTGTTTTCCAGCCACCGAAAAGTGGAAATCTTGGGCGTAATTCCAATTCAACAGAGTCCCGTAAAATTTTCATATTAGATGTGGAGATATTGCCGTTGGTGTCACGGTAGTAGACATCTGATGCGGATGCAGGCAGTAAAGTTTTATAAGATTTAATAGCATTCCCGGAGCGCCCATCCTTTTGGAATTCATAGCGGGAAAACGAACCTTTTAGCAAAGCACCAGTGTGTTCCATGAAAATATTTTCCTTTACTGCAATATTTCCCCAGTGCGATACCTCTATGATCCGCTCAAGGCGTGTCGTTGTCAAAAAGGGGCGTTCGTTTTCATAGTGTATCACAAGCGACTGATTGGTTAAAGCTATGAGAGTTAATATGATTACTAATTATAGTCGATCGAAAATATGTGTATATACATATATATTCTCCTTACCTGCAATATTCTCATACGGACCATATTTGATTTTATTAGCAGCGACATTAAATGGTTTTACTTGCGTGTGAGAAAGTAGGTTCGCTGAACTTAGTAATACGCTGGTTTTGTGGCTAGTTGTCTCATACGGCGAGTACAGATAAAGATTACCTTCATACTTTACAAGCTGCTTTCCCGATTGCGGTATTTGGCTAGGGTGGGGTATCAGCTTCTTCGTGTACACTGTCTCAATGGTGAAAACTTCGGTTGCCAAAGATGTGGGGAAAGCAATTGAAAATTCATGATTTCCATTAACTAAATTTTCCGTGAACTTCAGATCCTTTTTATTTTCATCCTTTGCTGAAATAAATGCCAAATTTTTACGATCTCTGGCAGGCACCAAGAACGTGTACACGCTAATCGGTTTGCCATCGCTGTTTGTAGCAGTTATCCTGATGTTCTCCTTAACTAATTGGCTCGATATATCCAACGAGCGGTCGACATTTTTATTAACAATTTTTGCCGAAATTAGACAAAACAAGGAAACAATTAATAGGAATAAAATTGTACACCGGCTAATTTCCATGTTTTTTCTTTTGGACACGTAGGTAGGGCACCGGAAAAATTTAGTTATGAATAGTTGTAGAATTTTAGAACATTAAGAGGAATTGAAACACAGAGTGCTTAAAAGAAATAATAATCAGATTGACAACACCAGCAGGGTGAAAATATGCTGTGCACGCGATATTTTTTATACAGAAATTTTTTTAATTTCACATACTAAAATTTAATGGCCCACAAAACCGCTCAAAAAATTCTAAAACTGAAACAATTTAAAATATGTTGAATTTTCTTGATTCTTCCTAATAATAAATATTTAACAAAAGATTATACGCAACATTTTATTTAAAATATATTACAGAAGTTTTTCATAACAAATTCCAATTTTTCGGGCGGGTTTCAACCCCTGCTAATTTGAATTCAAAGCGAACTTGACTAAGATTCACTCGGAAGTGAATTGCAGAACCTGTCAGATTGCTATCTATTTATTTACTACGATACGTTCCTTAATAACAATTTTTAATCGTCTTCAAAAAAGGAGAATTTGTCGGATTTTTTTCTTTTTATGTATGTTACCGAATAAATTTGGACCACGTTAATCGATTTCTATAATTCTTTTTTATAGGAAAGGATCTTGAAGAAATTAACGATAATCTTAAATTTTGTATATGGGAATTAAAGTCGGTTTTATTTTTTGCTTAAAAATTACTTGTAATTAATTTTTACATTAAACTCTCCCGAAATTTGATGTGATATACAGAATCCAAAATATACGAAAAAGTGTGCAAAGCTATGTAGACAAATTAGCAAAGGCCATATAAATGGGTACCTTTCAGGAGCCGGTGCATATAAAGATACTAACGCAATAAAAAACATAGAAAATATCGAAATTGACGAAATAGCAGATAGTGAACTAATTTTAAAGTCCTGATTAAGTTCTTTCAGAAGTATGTGTTTAATGCAGAAATGATAGATAAAGAGCAGCGCAAAAAATGGGATCACCAGACCATCTTTAACGTATAAAGGAAACATGCTAAACACCGTAGCTTCCAGAAACCATAGAGTTTCCAGGGGGTAACTGCTGAACAAACCCAATGCAGGTACAGCAACAAGTAGTATAGATTTTTCATGAACCTGCAATCATTGGAATTTAATTATATTCAAAATTATTAACTGCCTTACCTGAAAGGAAAACAAGTAAAAAGCCATGGCCGTGCTCACCAAACTCAAAAGGAATGTTTGTTTTCTTTTGTTAAAGAACATATGTATGTTGATTGGCAATACAAAAGCTGCTGTGACACCTAAACATAGCGTGGCCATTTGTTGGTTTTGTAATTTGTTTCTGCAGAATAGCGACTTTAATAAGATTAAAAAAAATACTACGCTCTATGTATGTACGTCATTACTTGATTTTATAAACCACATTGAGAGCACACCAAAAGTTAGCTACTTTATCTTCGAAGACGCCGCGTCCAATGGGGAACAGCCGATAGAGCACTTCCAGTATAGACGTCACCGATGTTAGCCATGGTAGCCAAATTACCAGAAACGTAGCTAAAACCGTACTAGCTATAAACGCAAATGTTTTAAGTTTTGACAAGAATCTAAAATATAAGAATTCCATTAAATATTAACAGAAAAAATTTTCCAATACGCTCCACTTGCCCCTTTTGATCACAACACGTTCGCAGTAGGTAAATGAAAAAGGGTAATGCATGGTAGAGCTCCATTTGTTTATAATTTAAAGCCAACGTATATAGAAATGAACCCATATAAAAACGTCCCTTAAAAATAGCAGCTACTGCTAATAAGCATAAACCAAGTGATACATTATTGTACTGGAAGTGTCCGTTATCAATAAGAATTTGTCCAGGATAAAAAACCATGGGTAGCAGATAAAAGAGCAACGATTTCTTAAAATTTGTAAATAGCACCGTGCCAAATATCAAAATAGCTGGCAGATATAAAAGGATGTCAGCAAATAATACCGTCATTCGCATAAAATTTTTATGTGCCGCAGATTCAATGCCTCGTGATTCACCCAATTTGACAAAACTTTCATTGAGCCCTTTACCAACAATACCAATGATATAGCTGTGATACGCTGTTATAGGTGGGTAATCAAGTCCCCAGTACAATAAATCATTTTCTGTTGTGTTTCTGTACCAATCTCTTGGCTGTACATTTGTGGTAATCTCTTGCCAATGCCTTTGTGCCTCGTAGTCTCCATACATTGGTGGGTTCCCAGCGCCAGAGTATGAATAAAGCGATACGATGCAACGAATAGCTACGGCGACACTTAGTGCAGCTATAACATCTGCCTTGATTACATTAATTTTCATTATTTTTTTATTCCAATTAGGCTACGTCATAAAAAAAGCTATGCCGGCAAAAAGTTTGGTGTATTTATTTACAATTTCTAAAGCAGCTGACTAGTGATGTGGCAATGTGCATTTAGATAAGAAGCGCGTAGTGTGTGTGTGTACGACGATTGTAACACCGGGTGTCAAGGTGATTAATAATTACCAAAATTGAGTGGTTTTTTCAATTCTTTCGGCCAATCAAAAAAAATAGTACATACATTAAAAGCAAACTTATATGAAACTCATGAATCACGCACGATGAGGCGATATAATATATATTTTTTTTTACAAAAATCCGAGTAAGTTTTTCTGCTGTTTAATGGTAGGACATCTCTAAAACGAAGTTATCGATTGGCCAAATCGTGTTTTGCACATCGTTAACAGAAAGTTTGCTAAAATAACGCGTCTAGGAGGTTTTCCCTTTCGGTTCGCAGTGTTTTTCAAAATAAAAGTTGTTAATCAGTTCTTAAACAGCATTTTTCTATTATAAATACAACAGAATGTCTATTTTCGATAATGCTAATTCGGAGGGTCCTGGATTTGTTGGTATACGCTTCTGCCAAGAGTGGTAAGTGAATGGCGATCTCGTCAGTCATGATGAAATTTATTTTATTTTTTATTTATTTTATTCAGTAATAATATGTTGTATCCAAAGGAAGACAAAGAAAATAAAGTGCTGCTATATGCTTGCCGAAATTGTGATTACAAACAGGAAGCTGATTCAAATTGCATTTATGTGAACAAAATTATGCACGAAATTGAGTAAGTCCTGAATTAATATATATTTTTAAATGGAATAAATAAATCCCTATGTAAACATATGTATTTGCGCACAGTGAGCTCACCCACATAGTCCCGGACGTAATTTCTGATCCCACTTTACCACGTACCGAAGACCACGCCTGTCCGAAATGCTCACACAGGGAAGCAGTGTTCTTCCAAGCGCAAACACGCCGCGCTGAAGAGGAAATGAGATTGTATTATGTGTGCACAAATCAAAATTGTACACACAGATGGACAGAATAAGTTATTTATTATTACTTTTTCTATAAATTATGAATTAGCATACAAAAATAAAACTACAGCAAGACTCGTTTGAACCAGACCCTAGCTTACCAAGAAATGTAAACGAGACATTTGCCTTGGAAAATCTGAATATTATGCATAATCATAGGCTATATTAGCATTAAATTAGTGTGCTTTTTTGTCTGCCTGAATAAGGCCACAAATAAAAAAGGTATTTCTCATTTTGCGGCATAGAGCTAGAATGATGTTGTTCATGTTTGTTATCAACCGTGTTGCCAGGTTTTTTTTGTGCCGACCGGCTAAATTGGCAAAAAAAAAGCGGCTAAATTGGCTAAAAAAAAGCGGCTACAAACGGCTAAAATGTTTCAACTAAAATTCAAATTTTATACTTGAATAAATCGCAACTACTTAGAAAGACTAGTAAATTCATTCAATAGATCCCAAAAACCGAGACTGGTACATTCATTACAAATTATTTCTGTTTGATAAAGGAAACTGTCGTTTACGTAGCTAAGCTTTACATCAGAAGTCATGTTTGTATAGGCTGCGTTTCTTTATACATTCGAGATATATATAATTATTCACAGATATCGTCTTCCCAGAGAGGTTTGCTTTGTTTCGTTATTTTCCAAGTGTTGCGAATAAAACTTCACACTTATATCTAAGACATTTTTCTTTTGCATCCTCTGGAAAAAATACGGTGATCCAGATATAAAGTGGGACGCGACATTTTAGCAAGTTTTGGCTATTTTTCCTTAGTTTATTTAATGTTTATTATTTTCTTGCGAAAAAATAGCTGATTACTTAACAAACACCATATATATGAATCCAAACTTCAAACTTTGTGCGAAAATTATGAAAATTCTTCAAAGTTACACGAAAATTTTTAACTTTTTAATTTGCATCTTTAGAAAAATTATGGTATGCAGTTTCATAGTCTATTAAATTTTAATATAACATGGTGCAAATTTGAAGTAGCTAGGACCTACCGTTAATTTTTGGAATTTTTTTGTGTGACGGTGTTACGCATTTTTTTCCCCTTCAAAATGTGTTCTACCATTTATTTATATGGGGAAAAAAAGCGGAACACCGTCAACAAAAAAATTGCAAAAAACAACGGCATGTGCTATTTACTTTAAATTTTCAATTTATTATACTAAAACTTAAAATTTTTAAGGATGCTGATTAAAAAGTAAAAAAATTTGCTGAAAATTTTAAACATTTTCATAATTTTTGCACAAAGTATGAAATTTGGATTTAAATTTTCATGTAATCAACTACACTTTCATTAAAAAAAATAATAACCATTAAATAAACTAAAGAAAAATAGCCAAAACTTGTAAAAATGTGGGGTCCCAGTTTATATGTATCTATATATATATACCGTTCAAATCGGCCCAGTATTTTAGGACTTCTCGGATTAGAAAAAATTGTCTTTCAATTTTATATAACACAGTCCGAGATAAGGCTAGCCATTTCTAATAGATTTTGGGTGACTAAATTTGTAAAAAAGGAAACTTATGTTTTTGAAGGCCTATAGCAAAGTCGGCTTAAAACGGCAAATTTTTTGCAAAAATCAAATCTCTGGCTCTTTGCTATCGCAGCCGGCTAAATCTAGCCCGAAAGTTTAACTGGCAACACTGGTTATTGATTGTATTACAAGATGCATCTGAAGTAAAATAATTGAGTAGCGGAATTGTCACATATGACAGGGTGACGAGCTGTTAAAATTTTGTATGTGACATTTGTCGTGAGCGTTCCGAAAGTGATAGCGACAGGTTTATTCACAACAAAAACCTAATCGACGTTAGCACCCCATTTGTGAAAATATTAAGATTTTTGTATTGCAATCGATAGTTCGTCGATTGTTCTTTAATGTTCGTCCATTTTTAACGTTTGCTCGTTAGCCAAAAATTTATAATTAATTTTTCAATTTTCACTTTACGTAATTCCTGAAGTTAGCACCCGCAACAGATTATTTTGGGTTAATTATTATTGCAATCGATAGTTCGTCGTTTGTTCTTCATTGTTCGTCCATTTTTAACGTTTGTTCCTAAGCCAAACATTTATAATTAATTTTTTACATTTTACGGTTCCTGCCTTTAGCACCCCAAATATAAGAATTTCATTATTTTCATTTGTTAACTGTGATAAATCGTGTGTTCGTCGTTTTCTCATCCCTAAAATCGAGCAAAAACCGTTAATAAATTCATAATTTTTACTTTACGTTAAACATAACGTAAACGTTTAAACAATAATTGGAATTGGGGCCGAGGAGCTAAAAAAAGTAGGCCTGGACCGCCCTGTTTTCCTGATTTTAACGGCATATTTTTGTTTTGTGCAAATTATCTGGCGCTAAGGGGGCTAAACGTGAAATTTTCAACATTTTTAAAAGCTTATATTTCGAAAAATATTGAACCGATTTTAAAACTATGGACACAGTTGGAAAAGTGATTGAAGAACCTTTCATTCGATATATATTTATGTATATAATGTATACATATTTTGAGGAAAAGTACAAAAACCTAATTATGGCAATTTTTTTTATAAAAATGTATGTTTTTCGTAAAAAATACGTAATTAACTATGTTAACAAATATGATTATCAGAAAGAGCACAAAAATATCTTTAATTTGATGTATGACTTGTAATTTGATGTATGACTTGTAAGAAAAAAATTAAAATATCGTTTTATATGAAAAAGAAAAAGCGCCGCAGGCAACAATTTGGAATAAAAAATCCCGCGATGTTTTATTCCGTATTTCATTAGCTGTATAGTAAACTATCGTTTTATATAAAAACTTAAAAAAACGCCGCAGGTATATATTAAAGTATGCTTTTATAAAAAAAAAGAAAAAAGCGCCGCAGGAGAAAATTTGGAATAAAAAATCGGAACAACGCCGTCTTCGTATAACTTACGTAAACTTTGAAACAAAACGATGATGATGACAATTAATAATGCCAATTAAATTGTTCAGAACTTTTGTTGTTTGATATTGAAAATGAGAATGTGTATATGAGTTTGAGTTTTGAATTTTAAAAGTACATTAGTAGGATTCATGAAACATCGCAAAGTTGTTGCAAAATTTGCCACCTTGCGACACAGCAGATTAATTTTGTATGGAAACTCTCCTGCGACAAAATTACTACATTGCTACAATATTTGAGCTAGCAATCATTGCAAGTCGCTAAACACATGGGCGCATTCATACCAGCTACTAAGTCGAAACTAATAAAGTTGCAACTTAAATTTAAGTACCAACTTAATATTCACTTCTACTCATAGTCGCATTTCAAACTTCTACTAAGTAGTTTTAACTTAGTTTTACGATATAGCAAAACGAGTTTGAAAATGTATCGATTTTTCTTTACGATATTTTGGAAAAATTACATTTTTATTAAATAATGTCAAGTTTGATCATCCATTTAAGTAATTTTTACTTTCATTGCATGTTTATGCAAAAGAATAAGGTATAATTTTCTTGTTAATTGTGTGAAATAGCCAGAACAACCGCAGTGATGTGAAGTCGATGTTTATCGAAAGCATGCTGTGAAACATACAAACACATATTTGAATGTTATGCACTAATTTACTTTAAAAGGATCAATTGCAGAATACGGCCCGTTAAGGTAGAACAAACCGAAAAAGTGGGCGTGGTCTGCCCTTTTTTTTGATTTTACTGGTATAAAAATTTTTTGATGCAAACATATATTCGGGGCTATGGAGGGGCGAAGGGGGGAATATACATTACCATCCAATTTGTTTTCAAATAAGACTGATGCTTTATACTTTTTATTTAAGTAATGAGAAACGTCAAAAGAATGTTCTAGAGTTGCCATGAGTACGAGCACGGAAGAGATGTGGATGTATAATGGCGTTGCAACAGTGCGCGGGAAGTTTTGGGGGCCAATTCTCGTTCTATGTAATGGGGAAGTGAAAATAAAACTCAGCCTCATCATGATTTTCATATTCCCCGAACCAGTTCACTTTTCACTTATAGTTTCCATGTATTTACCATAGGCGGAATAGGTATTTTCAGATGAAATTTTTTCGGGCGAAACTCAGAGTAAGGCAGAATATAAAATTTAGTGAAAATTTTAGTTTTTCACTTTATTATGGCATACCTTAAGAATACGGACCGTTGAGCTAGAGAAAAAAGAAAAAGTGGACGTGGTCCATTCCTTTTTGCTTAATTGACAAGGGCGGCGCTAGGGGGCTTAACGTGAAACTTTCAACATTTTCAATCGCTTATATTTCGAAAATTTTTGAATCGTTTTTCAAAATATGGACACAGTTGGAAAGGGGTATTTTTTCATAAAAATACGCAACTAACTATAATAAAAGATATGTTTTTCAGAAAGAGCACAAAAATACCTTTAATTTGACGTATAATTTTATATAGTTAGGTTTAAGTACCATTGCCAACAGTGAAATAAACCCACTTTATTAATGTTATATTCTATTAATTTATTTCAATTTCGTAATCATTGTCATCATCATCATTTTCGTCTACATTTTGAAGTTTCAGGGGATTGTACTTTAAAAAAGTTTCAAAGTTTACGTAAGTTTTACGAAGACGACGTTGTTCCGATTTTTTATTAAAAATTTTCTCCTGCGGTGCTTTTTTCTTTTTTTTTATATAAAAACATACTTTATAATATATACCTGCGGTGTTTTTTAAAGTTTTTATATAAAACGATAGTTCACTATACAGCTAATGAAAATTTGGAATAAAACATCGCGGGATTTTTTATTCCAAATTGTTGTCTGCGGCGCTTTTTCTTTCTCATATAAAACGATATTTTAATATATATTTAAACAAATATAATGTGCAGAAGAATTTTTTGTTACAAGTCATACATCAAATTAAAGATATTTTTGTGCTCTTTCTGATAATCATATTTGTTAACAGAGTTAATTACGTATTTTTTACGAAAAACATACATTTTTATAAAAAAAATTGCCATAATTAGGTTTTTGTACTTTTCCTCAAAATATGTATACATTATATACATAAATATATATCGAATGAAAGGTCCTTCAATCACTTTTCCAACTGTGTCCATAGTTTTAAAATCGTTTCAATAGTTTTCGAAATATAAGCTTTTAAAACTGTTGAAAATTTTACT